ACTAGTTCACGTAGAAAGAGAACTTTCCCAACACTGGGTGTGGCAGGGTGTGACTCTGCAGATGTATAAAATGCTTCTTATCTGTTATTGTGGGTCAAATATTTGAAGAAGTCTTCAAATTCCTGAAGAGGTTCATTATAAAGTGCATACATTTTAAAGTATACATTATTTAAAGTTAAACAAAAGTTTTCTGTAACAATTTACTTTTAACATTAATTAGATTTATGAATTCCATTGATCTGTGTTTTTTTCAGGCAAATCTTTTAAATTGTATATGGTTTAGCCCCCAGAAACTCCTTTCATGTACAAAGAACGACAGAAAATGTTTTTTTTTTTATCTCTTAACAAGATAATTTCATTATTCCACTTTTCAAATCTTGGACACACACAGAATCAAAGCTGTCTGAATTTAAGTAATACATTGGAGAATATTTTTCATTATATCTGCAATTTACATTTTGTAATGCCCAAAAGAAGCGAGTATAAAGGAGTATATACTAGCAAGGAGCTACTTCTTCTACAGTTATTCTTAGTAAGCTGAGCTTCAACAAGTGCTGGTGTCTTTCTGTAGCAGTCTATGGATGCATCCTGGACAGGCTGTCAGTCCATCTCGATAATTTAATTTTATTAGGATTTTATTTTTTAAGACAGCATTAATTTTGCATAATTGCAGACACTTAATCCAGAGACTGTTTTACACTCTGCTTTGTAAAATATCTTAAACTCGTTCAGATTGGATAGCCAGAATCAATGCTGAATGCCCAAAGCAATTTCCATGATCTATTATAGATTATTTAATTTTTCTCACAAAATAAGACTATTGTTAGACTACTGTTAGACTACTGTACCCTAGGACAGGTTTTCCCAAAGTGGAAATATATTATATGCATACATAAATCTTTTGTGAATTAAGTAAAGTAAGATTGATCTACTTATCTACTAAATGATTAAAATATTAAAAACAACATAAAATGATTAAAATACATTTAAAATAATGAATAAAAAAATAAAACGACAATAAAAATAACTTCATTTTTAAAATGAATACAATAATTTCACTTTATATCTCTAAATAAATATAGAGTAAATTAAGTACATGTATTATTAAGGTGGTCTCCACTGTGGCATTGAAAAAAAAGAGAAAAATCTCATTTGTCAGTTCCTTCAAGTTCTAATTTTCATGTTCTGCTTTTGTCTGTCCATCCTATAAAATTTAAATACAATAAACTAAAGTTTGTCAGCATTTGATAAACTTTAAAAAAATAATTAATACTTTTGCAAGGCATTATGGATCTTTATTTTAACGCCTGCTTGATCATGTGGGCTATATTTAAAATAATTGGATGTGTTCAAAGGCAAAAATAGCAATAATATCCTGTGAAATGTAGTCAGATGGGCCCAGCCACCGTTTTAGGTATAAAGTGCGGCTGCAACACTTTTAGACAAACTTGCTTGTAAAAATAGCTCTAACCCAGGAGCAATGACCCAATATTTCTCCCCTACAGGGAAGCAACCTCAGTGAAAGCTAATATTTCACTCTAAGTCTCTTGTTATCACTAGAAGCAGACCCACATTTTGCCAGCAGGCCAGTCTACCCAGAGATCTACATGCCTCTCTTCTGCTGTAGTGTGTGACAAGCCCACAGTGGGCGTGGTCGTATGGCAATCCAAAGTCTCTGATATGGGTCTGCACTCCCAAATCACAGGAGTCATCAGTCAACATCAGCAACTACTTCAACTTTACTGCCAAGGACAGAGGCAGGTGACTTTGCAGGTGTCCAGCTCTGCCAGGAATGTCCAAGCAGCCATTCACCAGCATATTTTTCTCTGGTGTTTTTTGTTTTTCACTCCTGTAAGCACTGACCACAGATCAGCCGCCGGCACACCCCAGGTTAAGCCATGGGCCCCTCCTGTGCTTGTTGGACCGGGAGATTTTTAATTAACACAGTGGGGGAATCAAACAAGGCTGCCCAAGCATTGCTTAAACCTCCCCATGTCTAACTCATCCTTAACAATACAGAAGGACATATACATGGGTTATGAATCAGGTTCTTTGTGGCAAAAGGCAATTTTACGATAACTAAACAGCCTGTGGGGCTGTGGAAGCCTGCAGAGCTGTTAGAGTTGGGGAATTACGCTGCACACTGTTAATGTGATTAAAAAGATACTTAAAATTGCCAGTTAGTAAGATTGCTTCCCTGATGTGATGAAACCGGAGAAAAGGAAAGTGTTAATAATAGCAATCATTCGTTTTTATAGAAAATTAACGGTTATTCTGTTGGCTTGAAACACAGAGGGAAAATAGAAATTACTGATTACTTTGATAACACCCCCCCTCCATGTTGCTGTGCTCTGTTGGCTGGCACTGATCAATGGCTCTGCCTCCTCCTTATGGTGTGACATCAGTCAATAGCTTTGATTACCGAGCAGCTAGCTGGACTCACGCTCAGCGGTGCCAGATCCTGTGTTGGCTGCTTTGATTCCACATGGAGCCAAGCGTGCACTCACTCATGTGAGCGAGTAGGATTAGAGCATTATGAACTATACCATCAGCGGTCAGGATCGCTGTCCTTATGCAAGGTCATATTTCATTTATTATGACTGAAACACTCTGATCTGTGAAGTAGTTGTTTTGCTGATTGTACTCTGTTTGTCTCATCAGGCCATGTTCAGTCTGTGTATGGTGGAGAGCGAGGCAGATGAAGTAACCCTGCAAGGAGTGACCAGCGTTGGACTAAAGCACGCTTTAGATTTCGCCTACACCGGACAGGTGAGCTTCTATAAATGAACTACTCTGCACTGCTTAGTTTCATGCTGATTATTATGTATAATGACACTGCAGCGCTCCCCCCTCTGAGACCCAACCATAAAGAAAATAATGTTTTTTTAAACAATTATTAAAAAGTTGATGCCTGCATCAGTGTTTGCAGCATCCCAGTAATAATATCAAATGTGTTGACCTTTAAAAATTTACTGCAGCTATTATTCTCAATCTCAGGAAATTAAACTAATGAATGTTTTCCCAAGCTAAGTGCAGCTACTTTGCAGTCTAACTGGACTTGGTTACCCTAGAATGCAGAGCCTCCACTGCTCTGTAGGCAGCCCTCTTATCTAACTTTAACTGCCTCTCAGCAGCTCCCTCTCATGTATAACACTTATGTAAACTTTAATTATTGCCATAGGTTAATATCCTTTAATTTGATGCATAGTGTAAATTACAAGGGCCTGACTTTCAAGTAGTAATAACCCCCAAGATCTATCAGTGTGAGCACATAATGCATTGTAATATGTAAAAAAAAAGTTAGTTTTAAACCTGACAGCAATTAGTATATCTACCAAAAAGGCTGATTTTATATAAAAAAAAGAAAGCATTCTGTTGGTCATAGGTAACTGATTTCACATTCAAAATCTCAGTATAATAAACTATCCTATAGTTGGAAAGACTGGTTTAGGAATAATATCTAAAAAAAGAACAATATAGCTATAAAAATTTGGCTAAAAAAACTAAAACATTGTTTTTTTGTTGTTTTTTTTCCTTGTCCATGCTCTTTAGGCCTTAAGCTGATGATTTTTGGTATTACAGAAAAAAAATGAAGCTTTCAAAAGATAGCATAATTTATTATCTGGCTCTAAAGGCTGACAGCTGCTTCTTCCACCCTTGTGGGAAATGACTGCTGTCAAACATTTACAATAACTGGCACATTTGGAGAAATTATGGCCCACTCTTCGCAAAATTGTTCTGCCACATTTTCAAGAATGAATGGCCTCTTTAAGGTCATTCCACTAGGTCACTTCAATTTTCGAGTCATTCTTTGTCTCGACATATTATCCATGTGCCCAGTAACAACCTTCAAAGGTTAGTCTTAGGGAGTAGAAGTCATGGTGCAGTTAACTATTACAGCAGGTCGTCCAGGTACTCAGGAAGCAAAACAGAACCAAGCCGTCAAAGTACAGCTGTCCTAATTGAATGTCACTATGAAGTTCTTGTCTCATCATCAGTCCACAGCATATTTCTCAATAGGCTTAAGGATCATCTGGATATTCTTCTAGGGAAACCGTACCTTTGAGCGATCTGATCACAGTGGTTTTCACTCTCTCTGTTACTTGTGTATCATCTTTAAAGGCTACGTTTGACTTTTACTTGAATAAAAATATTATGAATTAGTTTTGGATACTCTACTCACCTCTGATCAGAAACACATAGATTCAAGAAAAGTTAATTTCCCAAAGCTGCAAAGGCGGATATCTCCCTGCTGGCAGTAACTAAACATCCCTCCTAAAAATCCACCAAACCTCCAGCTCATTCCACCGCAAGCTGCACTTTGTCTAAGTACTATGTGCTACAATCCATAAACATGTTTTCTTTTGTTAAATTTTAAGTATATTCTTGGTAATGCTAATAATATTTTTCTATAGGTGTTATTAACTTATGCTTGTGTAGTATATGTGTATTTAGAGCTGGTGTCTCTCAGAAAACTGTTGTTATGGTGACATTATGGTGACAAAAACTCTTGATTAGGCTATTAGGACATAAGGATCAGATATGGGTGTTAAACATGGCCTGCAACTAAAGGGCTGGTTATCTTCCTGCAGCAGTGTGTCGCAGTGAGCTTGTCGCAGTTATTTTTGATTTATGCCCAATATTGAAGCATGGTCTAGGCTATGTTATTCCACGCCACAACGCAAGAGGGACAATCAGGAACTAGCTGTGGGTCTAGATACGGCCGAGGCGATGAGGAAGTGGGGGCAAGTTTGTGGGACAACAGAGGGACATGAGGGTGAAAAAGAGCGGGGATCCAGGTGGAAAAAGGGTCCCAGCGTTCTTGTGCACCTCACTCATATCGTGATATATATCATTACTGAAGTATAAAATAGTCCATATCATGATATATGATTTTTTTTTATATCGCCCAGCACTACTGACAAGTACCAATAAAAGAAAGTGTAAATAAAATCAATAAAATACAATAAGCCAATAGTGTGCCATAATTTAATTGTAATCCAAAAAGCCCCTCTATATATTGATAAGAAGAAAAAATAGAGAAAATCTGTGAGGGGGCCAATATTTGCAGACTTGCAAATAACAGTTATCTAAAGTGGCTCAAAAGTCACTCACATTGGTATAAGGAAAATGAATTCTAAATGTTTACTTTAAATAGATTTAAATAAAGATAGATCACACTTAGTGAGTTAGAATTTCACATTTTAAATAAATAGATACAGCTACTTTTTCATTTCAAACTCGAAGTGTATTTACCTAAATCTCCTACTGAGTAAAGACATTCTGGCATGTATTTGTGGAATAGAAACAGGGTTATGCTTTGTTTTCCCCGTGAGCAGATGAAGTCATGCACCCTGGAGAGAAACTATGATTTAAAATTTGTAGTTGTTGACCAGTGCCACACATGTCAACAAAAATAATTCAGATTAGGTTTTGCAGATTACTGTTTTAATCTCAGCACCATAAGCTCCTAGATCAGGACTTAAAAGCCAGGCAAAAGTGTATATAAGGTCGTCCATCCTTGGTGAAAGGCAGCTGCAATCCAGAACAGCTGTGGATGTAAATTAATGTATATTAAAGAAAGCGTTTTCAAGGTGAGGGTCAGGTCAGGAAAACTTTTTTTTCGGGAGACATCACTACCTTTGCTTGTCTTCTCTCCTTCAGCTGTAGCTGTTCGAAGTGTGCAATTGTTTTTCCTGACCTTCCTTATGCAAGTGTTACTGGGGCAACCAGAACTGTGGCTTATTTTGTATCCTTAAAAGCTGTCAACTTGTTAAATACTCCAAATTTTGTTTCCACGAAAATGAGGGAGTGAGCCAGTAAGTAGGTCAGCTGCAGGCTTGCGAGCCGCCTCGTTTTATGTTTGTTTTGCTCCCTATAGATCAGTGGATCCCAACCCTGGTCCTCGAACACCCCTGTCCTACATGTTGTAGTCGTCTTTTTGTTGCATCACACCAGAAAAGAACTGATGATTAACAGGCTTCTGCAGCGCTTCATTGCAAAGGAGTAGCCTTCATTTGAATCTAAAACGTGCAGGGTCAGGGGTCCCTGAGGACCAGGATTGGGAACCACTGCTATAGATGATAGAAGATGCAACCAGGGTGACATATCTCCTGCCCTGTAAATAACATCCTACTAAAAATCTTTAAACTGAGTGAGGGAGCAGACAAAACATCACAGAATGCCAACTTTTTACATTATGTCTGAAATCCTAACTGGACAACACAAATATTTTGCCTTTGTTTTAATATATCCAGGTGACAGTTCACGACTAGCGATTAAAATACATGTGTGATTATGCAAGAACTCCCTTGACTCCTACTATAAAGTGGGCACTAGGTTACAAAACCGACTGAAGTGCTTTAACTATAATGGGCTGCTAGAGTGAGGGGTCTAATAGCAGGATAGGAAAAAAAACGTTCATTATGGTCACTGGAGTCATTATTTCAGATTACAATCACTGCTGTCCCTTTACAGGACACTAATTAGATTGAAGACATTTTTTGTTCCTTATTTGAGATGTGTAGTAGTACTTTTGCCTTGCAGAATGGGTTTGAATGGGTTTGAATTCCAGTTGAAACATACTCCCTAAGCGCAGGCTTTAGATTGTGTTTCTACACAGATACAATCTATTTCTTTGGGGAGTGCTAGCCTAGTGGTTATAGCAGTGCACTTGTGCTCTGAGAAGAGTACCCAGTTCGATTCCCACAGCCTGCACTCTGGGTTCCTGAGCAAGACCCTTATCCTCACACAATGGTGGCTCACTCCTCCCCAAGGGGATGGGTTAAATGCAGAGTGTGAATTACCCATGGTGGGACAATAAAGGGTTTTATATTTTTCTATTTAGACTCGCCTAACCATTGTCTGACTAGCTACCAATCCTGTATAGCCTTTTATCTCCCTTTACTCCTTATCATATCCATTCATTCTTAAAGGTATTGTGGAGGATGTTTGAAAGAGCCGCCCCCTCTCCACTTAAAAAAAAAAAGAGCATGCACAAGCCCATTTCTCCTTGTGCACGACCTTTTTAAATTGTGCTGTTCTCATAGCGGGGCTGCTCAGTTGTGCAGTGGATAGCACTGCTGCCTTGCAGCAAGAAGGTTCCGGGTTCAATTCCTGGCCCCGGGTTTTTCTGCATGGAGTTTGCATGTTCTCATGCGTGGGTTCTCTCCGGGTACTCCAGCTTCCTCCCACAGTCCAAAAACATGACTGTTAGGTTGATTGGCTCTACATACTCCTTAGGTGTGAGTGTGTCCGTGAGTTTTTGTTTGTAATGTTTGTCTCCTTTGCCCTACAATGGACTGGCGACTTGTCCAGGGTGTACCCCAACCCTCGCCCCTGGACAGCTGGAGATAGGCACCAGCACCCCAAGCAACTCTGCTTGGGATAAGTGTGACGAAAAATAGATGGATGGATGTTCTCATAGATCACACAAGCTTACTGTGTCCACATACAGCGGGGACTATAAAGTGAACTGTATAGCAAACTCACTTAGCTGACCATGCGGACAGATGATCACTGCTTCTTGCTTCATTGGTCGCATAACTCCTCCTCCTCGCGGTGACTGTGCCATCTTTGTTATTAGTCGCCACCGTCAGGTAGCGACAGCCTATGGCGACAGCGGGCTGCTGCGACAGCAAATCCTATACTGCTTTTCGAGGAGATTCTGAGATTTGAGATAAATGTAGCGCCTCCTTGGGTCAAAATGTATGAAGGGTCAGAGATTTTGCTGTTACACTTGAATAACCCCAGTATCGCATCCAAAATTG